TCTGTGGTTGTGGTCTCCAGGAATTTTAGACATTATGTCGTTCAATGTTGAGACTGTTGCTCTGCAATCTTTCTGACTGCATCTCCATGAGATCCATTCTCTCCTTTTCCTCTTGTTCAGAATGAATATATACCGGTAACCATTTACACATAGATATCTTCAACCATGAAAAGTAGGAAGAAACTTCTAGTCTAACTGTGCATTTACCATAACTGAATTTGTGGAAATAATGGTGAAAACTGTCATTTCCAAAATTCTTATAGCAAGTTTCTGCAAGAAAATGAATAACTCACAACTTATGAATTGAGTGAACTAATTTATAAATCAAAGTGACTGTGTGAACTCACTAACATGGATTCAATCTCATACTGGTAGTCTGGTATACATGTCTTATTTCTTTCCTTGAGTGAACACGTTTTTTCATGTTGTAGAATCCCTTAAAACAACACCGTTGTCAAAACATCAAACATCAAACGATTTTTACCTTGACCCACATGTCTAACCTACCCTTTATCTCGATAATGATACAAGAATGAATATGGGAACCCTTCTCTATGCATCGACAAGAATACCTATCAAACAAGCATGGAGTTGCTATTGGCGTGGCGTTGTGTTCTCATTGCAGGTTTTAACATTTTCAAACGTGTATAATTGTCTCCACAGCGACAAACCTATTTTACAGTTTAGTAGAAAACTTAACAGAAGCATCCAACCTGACCTTACAATGAGCGGTGTGATAATTCAAGACATAGATAATCACTAGCATCTAGACTTGACCCTTCAAAATAACTGTAACTGGGATATTAACATAAAGTCTATTGGCTGGCTTATTATGAAATTAATGTCTTGTCTAAACTGGAATCTTTCAAATGTATATTTGTCTCTGGAATCAACTGTGAGCTTGTGGGCTGATTTCTCTTGATCTATAATGAATGTTTTATTAAAACATTCTGTAACGTACTTCTTGTAAATGATCAAATTAATCTAGATACACTTATGATTCTGTAAAAAGGGAATTCATCTGAGTATTTGCTTCAATCCGCACATGTATGGACAACACAACCAATTTTCTATTGACAAGTTCATGAGATTTTCGTGAATACGCCAATTGCATAACACCGTTATTGAGCACAAACTCAAATGGCCTCTCCCTTGTGACAGGTGTTAATTGGAGAATGTATTCTACTACGGTTAGTTCCCATGAAGCAGAATTGTAAAAACATAGGGTGATTACCTCCAAGACCTGGTGATCTCGAACAAAGGCCAGTTAATGTTTTAACAGGCACAAGGTTGATAATGAAAAGTTGAAGGGGTAAAGAAATGAAATAAGCCTAAACTGATATTTGACATTTTCATGACATAATATATTTGGTGTTGCCACAATTAATCATCACAAGATGAAACATATCATGTGAAATATATCTCAACTATCATTTGGAGGGCCTTTTCAATGATCTTCTTAAATCTGCCATGCCAACACCCCAAGTAATAATAAGATACATAATTTTCAAATCATGTATGACCTATTTCAACTTATTAGTGACCCTACGAAGGTCACCCAAAACTCTAGCACTTTGTTAAATATTAGTAGATTAGTAGATTAATCAATAACTTTGGCAAGACGTAGAACGTATCATCCCCGTAGACGTTGAGTGAACACATGAATCAGTATCATTATAATCTCAGTGAGCTAAACTCAGTAAATTAACTCAGTAAATTCGATCATATTTCAAAACAAGTTCAGAATTTTATAGCATCCAGTGTCTTAATCCGGTATAACAACACCGACGCAACATGAACGAGATTATACTGTAATAACAAAATCCTACTTCACGGGAATACCCCATTACGCCATGGCACGGGTTCACTTTTATGGCATGTAATACACTCAGTCAGTCAGTATATCTGGTACACTGTTATATAGTCCATATAGCGTAGGTGTATGGAATTTGTATTCATATGAACATTGAGAGGGGGGAAAAATTAAACATATTTGCGCTTTTGTGGATAACAACTAAAACATACACTTGAAACTGACTTTTGAAAAGGCTCGCCATACTAGCGGTAAATAGAACAGTCAATATCAAGTTTTGACACATAGAACAAGAAGAATACAGATGAGTGAAGTTAAACTAATATATAGAATTGGTTCCTAGTTGGTCGCATAGGACGGCGAATAGAAAACACTTACCCCGGTACTCTAAACATAAAAAAATGTATCACTTCACGCGTGAGACGCAGTTGCATTGATATCAAGCACAAAGGGATAATATGAAAATATGGCTTATTCCTGCAGTTTTCATGAATAAATATGTCACATGCAAGATACATTATGTATATCAACAATAAGAACTCTAACAGATCAAAAGATTCGTGAAATAGTTCAGTCTATACATTCATGGGCCGGGGATCCTTGGGAAAAAGGAGAAATTGAAAGAAGTAGTGGTAAAATCCTTCCTAAATTTCCAAGCCTTGGAAACATCATCTTTCCAATTTTGGAAATTGTTGGAAATATGATATTTCCAAATTGGAACTTTTTGGAAATCCCCATTTTTTTTCTTGTGAAAGCAATACCTAAGTGTTACCTAATAAAGATTAATCTACACAAGCTGTTGTTATGTCCTTTTATGTATTATTAATTTTTACTATCCCTTACTGTTAAATATGCTCTGATCCATATTGAGTGTGTCCCTTACTGATGTGGATTTTGCATATAGAATCGGGATGGGTGATCTCACAAGTCTTGGTTTGTGGACTGTTTCCTGGAGGAACTCCATATCAGTTGCCATGGGATGAAGGCAATCATGTTCTACCCTTCAGGCTTGGGAGTCTCTCCTGTTCTGATCCTCTTATTAAGTCCACCGATCACATCACAACTGAAGAGTACGTTCCAGCAGGGAACCAAGTGAGCATCCTTAATGATCAATACCACACAAATGCTTGCATGGTCAAGCTCAGTCAGCTTCCAGGACATATTCCTGGGAAGTTCAACATCCTGGTGGACAGCCTTTTTCACAGTCAAAGAATAAGGGCATTGGAAAGAATTCTTCATTATGTTTTTTTCCTAGAAAACATTGTAATGTGACACTTCTCATCTTGCTTGTTTGTCTGTCTTCAATGTCTTCAGGCTCTTTGTGTGGACTGTTATCCATCAACTAGTCAGGATTGTTCACCTATGCCTTTCCACCCTCTATTCTCCAAGACAAGACTCTCCAGAATTTGGGAAACACAGACTGTGTGGTTATTCTAATAACCCAAATATGCCCAAGCCAGATGTGGTCACCCAGGTTATTCCCACTGTCTATGGATGAATCTCTCTACCTGTATCTGGTCAAGGTGTCCTTCCACTGGCCCAAATGAGACATCTTTTATAACAATCTTCTCTTTTATCTGGACGCCACCTGAACAGCTGTGGCATGATGTTGGGAAGCATTCTCCATCGATCTGACAAAAACTGTTCAAATTCCTTCAGTCCTTCTTCAACCACTCAGGACTTTCTCATGCTCACAACTGTTCTTTGATTACTATCAGATCTCTCCAGGATTTTGTTGTCCAAAAGCAATGAACTACATTTACATTGGTGCATAGACATCATAACCTACTGCCTTAGCTAAAACTAAGCAATTCAAACAATGATATCACCAAGAGAACATCTGCAGGGTTTTTTTAATCTTACCTTAGCTTACATGAAATCCAACCTGATTTACTCACGATCTATTCCCAGAGCCTCATAGTGGCAGCCCAATCTATTGTTTTCAAGTAGCCCCCCCCCTCATTGTAGAGTAAAAATAAGATGGCACAAATCAAAGAGCAGCAACTTCAAGAGGTAGGTACACATTTTGAACACTGTTGTGTTCTGAGTGTAGAACACGTCAATAGTTATTGGCTAGAATCATACTTGAAATCACAGGGATTGATATGAGAAGAAATGGGAGTGACGTCATTGCTGTATGTTCTGTGAGCAGAATAGGAAATGACAGTAGCAAAGTCAGTAGTGACAACATCAGGACCATTGTCAGTATTGCAATCCAGAAATATATATCGGTTTAGACATTTTGATGTCACGATGAAGAAATGGAAGCAAATATAGCATAGTTTTAGTCAAGTTTTTCATGTTTGCATGATTCATGTCATTCATCCAAATTTAAGACCCCTCTAGGTGACTAAATGAGGAACTGTTGAAGAGGATAACTAGATGTCATAACCCACCTGTCCCTTTGAATATTCAGCAGCGGTTTGGTATTTGCAAGAAAAATCAATCAGTAGTTGTCATGATGATGTTTTTAGGAATACTATCGCTATTACTATCCATCCAGATGTACCGAGTTTAAAATTGTGTGTTATTACTGACACAATCATGTACAGTTGACAGAGAAAGAACACTTCTGTTAAAAATCTGAAAGATCTAGTCATATAGCAAACAATACTGAATTATTGCTATGATGTAATATTTTCTCAGATTAATTGACAATAATAACTATTGTTCCATTTTTAATTGTGTGACTGATGAAACACATACCCAGTAATTATAAACACATTATAACCTATTTGTTTCAAATGTTTAAACATGTAGATTTGTCAAAACATTTAAAATCATATCTCTAAGATGGAAGTTAAAGGTGAAGAAAACTTGTATGATTGGTGCAAGCAGACTGAAGTTACTTCAAGGTACCATGGTTTGTTTGCACTGAACTTTGTTGTTGTAAATGATTTTACAAAAATACCCCCATCTGTTTTCTTAGAATCTATTGCACCAATATTCTGTTGACATGCAATAGTTGTTTGTTATCATTGTAAGATTGAAGATTCATGAAATTTTGTCTTTAAAAATCAGTTGACAACAGAGCATTGTTGCTCTGTTTTATAAATTTAAGAAAGGTTTCATGAAAGTTATGACTGTAATTCTATATTAGTCCAAGGGTAGTTGATTGTTACATCTGGCAGTCATAATACATTTTAATTGTCAGTGATCATTTTAATTCTAACTTGATTAATTTCAGACCAAGCAGATGATTGAGAAACTGCAAGTCCTTGTGTCTTCTGAAGGAAGGTTCAAAAACATGCGTGAAGCTCTTCATAGGTATGTTATTTTATGTGTGTTTCTGTTTGCTTGTTTGTGTTGTTTAGTGTAGATGTCCAAGCACCAATGCTCAAATGCTTATTACCTTACCTTGGCTAATGGCCTCAGCTTCACATGACCTGAAGCATCTAGTTTCATTGAAAATTGGGATTCATTATTTCAATGAACATTTGGCAACAGTGATGACAATTCTACGAATTCACCTTTCCAAATCCTTTCCCGTGTCGCTTGCTTGATGTGAGCAGCATTGATAGCCTCCGCATCAAAGCTGGGGAATCTCCGCCGCTGTGAATGATTGACGAGCCTATGACATCATGGGGGATTCCCTCGCTGGTGACCCTTTTGAAAGGTTGACTATCGTGAATGCATAGGACATAGCTTGGAAGTGAATTATGCCTTACCTCGTGTGTTGTTGATGCTGATTCTCCATCAACCTGGTCCTGTGAAAGTGGCTTGTTGAGGAGAGCTAGTATGCTACCCAGCTGCTGGGAAATGCCATCCATCCTACTCTCACTCAGTTCGGCATTGCTCGCACTCGCTTGAGTACCTGGTAATACCGGGTGACCTGTTACTATGTCAGCATTCAAAAAAAGATTCTGAATCACTGCTTTAGAGTTAATATGCACATCTGGCGATGGGGTTTTAGACTGATTCGTCAACCTTTTAGATATAGCCTTTTTCTTCACCCAATTTTTCATTTCCGAGCCTTGCAGACTTCCCTGCCCCTGGAACCAGGCGGTGATTTATAGCTTGGGTGGCATGTTGAATCTTGAAGGTTGAACAATGTAGACGAAACTTGAAGGATGAACAGCATAGACAAAACTTGAAGGATGAATAGCGAGACAGAAAGATATGATGGTGGTGTTATCATGGAAAGCTAACGGCATATGACATCATATGACGCTGTAATGCAAAATTGATGATGTTGGGGCATGACGTAGCATGTCTGCGCACACAGATGAGGAAGCGGGGAGATAATAAAAATAAAGCTTCAGCATCCCTGCCATAAAGGCATTTAGTTTTTAGTACTAAATGCTATTAAACTTCTCAAAACCAATTCCTAATTCCGCCTCCAAAGTTTCTAGACTTTATGTCAGGGAGAATGGTTATTTAGTATGGACTCTATGGAATACCTAACCGGTCTGTCTCTGTAGTTTTCTAGATAATGTTTTAAAGGTCAATCAAGACAAGAATCTACTTGTCAGAGATAAATTTTTCTATTTCAACTAATGACACACTTTGGATTCATAATTAACTTGGACAAGTCAAAACTTACACCAACTCAAACCATCATCATTAAGGTGGCTGAGATGATTGTTCCTCAGCAGTGTATCAGTTGTAATCTTGGGCAGACTCATACAGTAAGATAATGATTATTGGAGAAATAAACACAAAGTTTTGTAGTGAGTAGGGTCTGGAGGTCTCAGCTGATATTATAAGTAGAATTTAATGTTTAGCACATAGTAAGGTATCTAAATGTTTCCATTTCCTTATAAAGGGATCTAAGCTATTGTTTTTCCTAGCTATATATTTTTCAGTTGTATATATATCTTTTAATAATCTTAAGAAATCCCTCAAGGGAAAGTGTTTGTTGTTTTATACTTGAAACATAAATGAATCTTTTGGCAAGAAGTATAATATGGTTTAGTGTTTTATTGTTTGAGAACATTCCAAACATGATAGTGAATTTTGTAAATGTGACATCACACTGGAGGTGGGCATTTAGAAATTGTTCTACTTTTCGCCAAAAAGTTTTAACTAAATCACAGTAAAAAAAATACATGCACATAAGTCTTCTGAGGTATTTTTACAAAAAGTACAAGTATCATTATCAACTAGCTTCATCTTCAAAGTTCTTTCTTTGTATAGATTATTCTGTAAATAAATCTGTACTGAAAATCTAACAGCTTACAATCATTTGTGCATTTCCTGTAATATCTGAATACATTACTCCACATTATATCCTGCTGAAAGACAGTTTTCCAATACTCTAGTACTTTAGGGGTATTGTTGTTCTTAATCAATTTATCATAGAATATCCTTGAACCTTTTATATTTGAGATCATATCTAGGTAAACTCTATTAATGTTTAATTGATTTAAGCAGAGAGTTCTGTTTCCTACAAGTTGTCTCCCAGTTCATTGGAATGTTATTTAACAAATGATGGTAGTCTAGGAAGGTCCCGCTTATTTTTGTACCTCTGTTTTACATCTTCAAAAACTGAGAAATCCATTTTCATTACAAATATCGCTGACATAATGTATACCGCGACTTAAACCAATTTCTTATCATGTATGAAGATTTAAAGAAATGGTTTAACCAGAGTGGCTGAGCTAAGATTTGGTCTTAAGTCATCGCTGTCAAAAGTGTGTTTTTATAAAATATTCTCCATGCAGATAAAACATCTCTCCAATAGGGATTATCTTTGCCAGATAAGCAATCAACAGCATTAGAACCTAGAAAGTACAGTTGACTTAAGGGAAAAATGCTATTAAAATTTGAAGTTTTCTTTAAGTGACATTTCAGTGACGATAATTTCGAAGCGTTAATGAAAACATTCAATGTCAATCATTCTGAGGCCTCCATCTTCGTAAGTTCTACTGATATTAGACCTTTTAATCTTATCATTTTTATTATTCCATATGAATCTATAGATTATTTTATTGAGTTCATCGATGAATGTTTTGGCGGGTTAGGAAGTGCTGAGAAAATATGTACTAGAGTAGAAATTGCTAGAGTTTTGATAACAGTGATTTTCCCCGATTAGAGTCAGGTTTCTTCTTCGCCAACTAGCAAGTAATCTATTAATATGTTCTAGGCGCTTTTCTGGTGTTAATTACCCAAAGGTCTTTAAGAGAAGCATTAAGTGTTATTCCTAAGATTTCAAAGTCTCCACTGTGCCAGTCAAGATAGGAGTCATTGGCTGGCTAAAGTTATATTACTACCTGTCATTGAGCCTATCCAGATAGCTTTTTGTCTTGTTTATGTTCATTTTGAGTCCAGACATTTGATAGAATTTATTCAGTGTTTCAATTGCAACACTGAGACTTTGTTTCGATCCATCTAGAAATAACTGTGTATCGTCCGTCCGATATTGTCCGAAGTTTCTGTTCTGTATCATTAAGTGTTATACCCTTTATATTAGATTCGACCTAATCATAATACCCTACATTTCAACGGCAAGGATAAATAAATACGGCGCAGACTGGATCTCCCTGTCTACACCCTCGCTTCCTGGTGGAAAAAGGAGATGATGTGCCCGTTTTGTATCACAGCTGCTGTATTATTACCAGTTAGAATTTGAATCCATTTGATAATATTGGGCCCAAACCCAAATGCTTTCATTACCTGTATTATAAATGTTTTGGAGATAGTGTCAAAGGCTTTTTCAAAATCTATTAGTAATAATAGGCCAGGTTTATTTAACCTTCTTGTTTCAAAGACAATATCATATAGAAGTCTTATATTTTCACTCATACATCTCCCTGGTATAAAACCTGTTTGATTTTCATGTACAATTGTATCTAATATTGATTTAAACCTGTTTGCAATACATGTGCTTATTATTTTGTAAAGGAATTTAGTAATGAAATAGGTCGCCAGTTCTTTAGGAATTTTCTGTCTCTATTTGGTTTTAGGTAAACAAGTAATAATTCCCCTGTTCATTGTAATAGTTAATTCATTATTTGTAAAGGTTTCTTTTATAAATCTATAAACCCAAGGGCTTAAATCTTTCCAAAAGAACTTAAAGAATTCAATGGGGTAGCCAATAAACACAAAGTTGCTGTCAAGTAAACAATTAAATACTGTGGACCTAATGGAAAGAAAAATGTATGTTTTGAAAGAACCTACTGTAGTAACTAGAACCACTGCTACACCTAATGGACCCTGTATTATTAAGTGAAGACATATCTGTTCCAGACAGTGAAAGTTGTTGAATTAATAACAAAGTTAGTGATCATAGGGGAACTTACATTTCATTGGGCATAAATGTGTTTTACTAGACAAGTATGGTGTTATAAAACTGGCCATTATAATAAGCTAACAGTCTTATAGAAAATAATGATTGGTTTGATACTTTTTTAACAACAACTGTGATTGTGTTGATTATGGCGTATGTAATGTCTTTGACAAAGGTTTTACAAGGTTTGTTAGATCTTGTGTACAATCAAAAAACTGTAACGATTCATCCTGGTAATAAGCCTTGGTTAAATATTGAGCTGAGATGGAAATGCAGAAAATGGGACAGAATGAGAAAGAAAGCTAAAAGAAACTGAGCATGAAAGGTATTTGATTGTATAAGAGACAGAGAGAAATAAAGTAAACAGCATAAAATACCATGCTAAAGGAACTTTTATTCCAATCTCCCTGATTTTATTACTGAATAACACTTTAATAATAAACCCTCTCACTGGAAAAATGCTGCAATATGTTGTAAAACATTCGGGTACAGCAACTTGCATTCCACTCTCAAACAGAATTCTTTTTGATGATGACATGTCGCTTTTCTCAGATACTGATGAAGCCTAAAGATTTGAATATATACTTCTTTGCCTTGATCTGGTGCATAAAACGACGATAATATGACTCTTCCTCAATTTAGTAGATGTACAAATTCGACTTTAGAATTTATAACAGTGACAAAACAGGAAATTTCTGACATGATTAAATGTTTGCCACTGAATAAAGCTGTGGGTCATGACAGAAAAAGTCATAAACTTTAAAAAAGAAACTGCTCATTCAAAAGTGTGTCCTTATGTTTGCTTTTTGAATTGTCATTAAGAAAGGTGTGTTTCCATCAGAATGGAAATTAGCACATGTAATGCCTGTATTCAAGAAATGTGATAAAACTGAAGCATCCAACTTCAGACGGATATCACTTTTAAGTTGTGTCTGTAAACTGTTTGAGAGAATTTTATTTGCTAAGCATATATCTAACTATTTCTACAAGAACAAATTATTGTACAAATGCCAAACTTAAATGAGAATACTAATGCAAA